CGCCGCGGTGGAGCCACCCCTCGCTCGGCTGCGAGCTGCCCCCTCTCCCCTTGCACCCTGCCCTGCACCTTCACACGCCCTGCGGGCTCCTCACGCTGCCGGAGACGGTGGAAACGGAGCTTAGAGGCAACCAAGGGGCATCCCGTTATCCCCCGCTGAGGGCAAAGCGGGGTGGATGCCTCATTGCCACAGCCGCGGGGAAAGCGCCCCACACCCCTTCTCCTCTTCCCGCAAGGAGATGACATCGTGTCTTCACTGCAGTGGTATCATCAGAGATCCAAAATGAAGACGGCCACCTCGCCCAGAGGACCCAAACTGCGAATGCTAAAGCAAAGTGAGCAGGATGCCCTAGGAGCCACAGAGAAAAGTAAATAGCTGGTTTGGGGTTTTTGCCAGCCAGGGGTTTCTTTGGTGGCCAGAGCTTGGCTGTGTTACACCAAACCGGCTGGGCTGGGGGAGTCCACGGGGGACTGCTTGTCCTCACCCCCACAGCAAGGAGAAAGGAGAGCAGCATCAGGTGGTCCTCGGAGGAGGACGGCAATGCTGGAGTTCGCTGGATGTGTTTTTCTTCAACTACGCCTTCAGGAAACAGCTATAATTTTAACAACCTCTTTTACCTAATGGCATGTCCCAAACCATACTGCACACAGAGTAAAGCAACCGAATAAACATTACAGAGAAGTTCCACTACGTTTTCAGGCAGCCCTGACAATCTCCCCTAGCCTGTACATACCCATCTGTTCTTTTAGATGCGGTAATTGCAAGCACACACTAAAGTATACTTCAGCAAAAGAGAGGGGAGTTGTATGTACGCTGCTAGCGGTATTCATGGGAACTGTGTCACTCAGGCCCCTTTGAGCATCTCAGACAGAGAGAGGAAGACTGCGTATTGAGAAGGTGAAAACATTAACTTCAGTAGCTGCTTTGCACTGTTTTAAAGGTGCCCGCTTCTCATTTCCACCACCAGTGTCATTTTCCCCAATGACATAGATTAGATAAATCTCTTGAAAGCTAGTTTATGTATGATAGCAATGCAATTATTTTATATTAAGCACGGCTTCATGCGCAGCAACCTACCTGTTAACTCCTGCCCTTCACACAACACGGACAAACAAGCAGTAACAGCGCTTTTCCGCTCATCCCTCCAGCCCGGAGGCTGGAAGCTGCTCCCTTCAGACTAAGCCCTGCGTGCAGGCTGTGCTTTTAAACGGAGCTGAGCTCACAGTCCAGTTTACCAATGCTGGCACGGTCCGGGCCCAAACAGGCACTTTGCTGTGGATGATGGAGAGGAGAAAGGTGACACTTCAGCTCTTGTGGTACCCCTCCACCTTCTCCTCAGAGGCTGAAACTGAGGGTCCAGCCCAAAGCCCCCGTGCCTGCTGCCATGCTTTGTACGCCCTGCACCACCACTGCGGTGGATGTTTGCAGCGAGGGGGGAAGGAGGGGGGCTAACTTTGCTGTCACAAGTCAGAGGAACAATGTGGGACTCCAAATCGCATTGCTAAGGCTTCCTCACACAAACCACGTGTTGATTTGGTGAGAAAAAGAACACGCTGGGAATTGTCATCACTGCAATTGCTTTGGCAGATAAGCACCTCCCTTTGACCTCTGAAAGCTGCATACACAGCACCCTGGCAAAAGAAACACGGCACAGAAGGATGCAGTCCTCAGCTGGAAGAGCTCTACAAGGTCATGCCTTTTACAAAAATGTCCCCTTGCAGCACAGGGTGGAACAACAGGATGTCCTTCCTCAGGCGTGCATGCTCCCGGGCACAAGGCAAAACAGCCCCCAGCACCACATTTTAAGGGTATCAGCCCAAGGCTACAAAAAGCCCCTCCCAGGCAGTCCCTCCCGATACTCACCATGGCGGTGAGGCACTGCGATTCACGCACCGTGGCGGCAGAGCTCAGCAGGGCTGCGAGGATCAGGGTCATGCTGAGGCAGATCCCAAAGTAGAAAGCTGGAAGGAAAGTCGGACACGGGAGCTGCGGTCAGACACCAAGACGTTAGGGCTAACGGAGGCCTGGTCTGATGCTTTCGCCCAGAGAGGGGCCAAAAAGTGCATTTTGGGGAGCTGGTCCAAGAGGACCAGGTTGCAGAACTGAAATTGTTTTATAATTTATTCAATACCCCCCCATCCGCGTATGCTTTGCTTGTCTGGCAGGGCTGTAAGCCTCTGAGCGGTTCCCACAGCTCCAGCAGAGCGAAGCACCCTACAAGGGTGTCGGTCCACCCGACAGACCACAAGCTGTCAATTATTTCAGCGCTCCGATAAGGATCCCCCCGAAAGGGGGGTGCTGATGCGCAGCAGCTCTCCCACGGCCCCTATCGGGACTTCGTGCGCTGCTAATCTGGTGCAACACTCGTCCTCCGGTTTCCTCCTGCCTAAGGCAGGGTCACAGCCGGTACCCCGGGGCAGGGCTCCAGCGCTGCAAAGGGCTTTGCAACCCTCACTCAGGACTAACCCTGCAAAGAGTTAACGCTTGCAAGGAAAGCAAGCGGAAACATCGCTGGAGAGGGGTGGCTGGGAGGCTGCATTAAGTGCCTATAGCCCCTGGTGTGTCTAGGAAAGGGGGAGGGCTGTACCTTAGTTTTGGACTAACACAGTTTTTACACCTGCCTTGTTAAACTGAAATTGAGAACCAGGATCTAGAGAGGGTATGAGCATGTTTAAGCCCAGAGTATAGCTTGGGAGAAGCAGCAGATGAGAGTGCAGCAGAGGCGAGCAGCGTATTTTAGTATCCGGGCTGTTCTCATCTCTTTGCTCTAGCCTTGTACCCGAGACTCAGTTTATGTTTCTCCCTTGCGTAGGGAAAAAACCCCCACATTTCCACCAAAAACAGGTGTTTCCATGCATTTCTCCTCCCAGCCTCAATTTTCTATGCTCTGCTTCAATTCCTGTAACAGTCCCTCCTCCCACGCTCCCAGGGCCCTTCCAGCCCCGCTGCACCTTTAGATCCATCTTTGGCTGAGCCCCCCCTGTGCGTTCACTGCAGCAGAGGGGGAGGATGGGGAGATGGCGAACAGAGGGACAGGAGCGAACGCAGCAGCACCTGAGCACCCTGTGCTCCCACAACACCCTTCAGTGCCAGGCATGCAGGTCTGATACAGAAAAAAAAAATTGCCTGTGGGACTGCGTTAGCCCCAGTGCATCCTCCAAAAGCCAGCCCCTGCCTCCTGCTGTGATGCCTCTGCATTTCCTTCCGCTGCTCTGGGGGATTTTGCAGCTCCTGGGTTCACCAAAGGTCTCGCTGGGACGTGACCGTGACGTACCTGCGTGGTGGATGACCCTGTAGGAGTTGCTCTCCAGGGAGATGTCGCTGATGAGGGTGAAATGGAGCCCGTAGTGGGTGACTGTGCTCAGTGTGGCAATGGACAACCCCAGCAGCTGGAAAAGAAGGTTTTAGCAAGGGGTTGACAAGGCAGCAGCTCCTGCTGAGTGCACACAAAGCTTTGAGGTGTATCTGGATACTCCCGAGCCCCACGCAGATGCAGACAGCCTGATCATCCAAAGACCACTGCATGTACCCCAAAATGCACATAAAAGGACAAACCCCAGACACTTAAACATACTAAAGCTCTTTTTCTCTCTTGCATAATGAGCGCACGCGACACCGTGCAGCCCGCAGTCTCTTGGGCAGCGTCTGTGGATGAAATTCCCACCACGGGAGGAAAGCCCAGAGGATCAATGCTCTTGCAGCAGACCCGTGCAGTCCCACCTCGCTCTGCAGAGTACGCACGTGCAGTTACGAGGGCTGCCAGCTTCAAGAGTGGTTTTGGGCTGGGATGATGTTTCTCTGCTTTGCTCTTTGCAATGCTAGTCCCATTGCCTGCTATTGGCTATATTTCCAATTGTAGAGTGCAAAGAGCTGAGTCTTGTACTACTCTAAGTAATCTGTGCTGGTTTCTGTCTCCACAACACGCTGCTGGGCCATCCGTGTTTCTGTCCCATCGCTGAGCACACCGGGATGCCTAAGGCACGGGGTGACTACCAGCACGTTACCCTCCATGTCGCCCAGAGCAAGTCCAGGTGATGGAGAGGGAACATTTCTGATGGCACCTTGCTCTGGGGCAGGGCTCCTTGCAGCACGACCGGTGGCAGAGCTGGGACAGAGGCACCAACAGCGGGCCAGCTAAAACCAGCTCCAACTCTAGCGTAATGAACCTGGAAAATACAAGATGTGAGGCCACTCCTAGCTAAGATAAGGTTTCATCCTTTTGTGCCTTTACAATACGGAAACACAAGGCAGCTATCCCTGTCTCAAATGAGACAGTCCGGTGTCAACATAATCCCCACTGTATGACATTTTCTAATAGCTTTTGCTGGAGACTTACAGTTTTGGAGACTCAATACACCCAAACCGTAGCATTTTCTGCTTATAACCAACCTAATTTGTGGCACCTACTGATCCTTCATGCTGTGCATTTCTGCGCATCTCGATCCACACCCAGCAAAATGCTGAGCGCAACACTGGTTAGCTCAGATTTCTGAGAAACACCAGTCTAAAATCCTCCCAACAGCAATAACATGATTCTTGCCATCCACGGTGGCTGTGCCTTAGCATCTCCTCTAAACACCTTTGGTACTAATCCTCCTCTGATTTTCTCCAGATGACATACTCTGCTATTTGGAAGAGAGAACAACGCACAGCCACTACAGCCAGTGGTCCCGAAATGTTGAAATTTGGACAAAACTGTAAATGTCACGTGTGGCCCAAAATAAGGCATCACTTTTTAATTACACTCTCTCCAAGCCACCAACCCTCTTTGAACTAAATTCAGATTATTATTATTTTTTACGCTTGCAAGTTGTGATGAAGTGCAACGGCAACAAGCACATACAACTCGAAAACATCCAGCAGAAGCGTTCCCTAGTTTCCACCATTTCCCATCAGCTCTAACAGCAGATGTCAAGAAGCTCCCCTGGAATTTGCTTCAAAAGCTGATAAAAAGGATCCCTAGAACTGCTTTCCCCTTTGCGGTGCGGACCCCCAGGTCTCTCACGTATACTTCCATCGAAGCCTTGCGGTTTCGTATCCTCACTGATCCCACCCGCAGCCGACCGCCCTCCCAGCAACAAGTGTGACTGCAGCGGGTCCATCCTCCCTCTTTTGCTCCAAGGAGACGGGAGCAAATATCTTTTTGCTGAAAACCACCCATTCTGCCCGCAGCGACCTTTCCTTTCTCCGCTGGGTTGTGAAAGAGCTGCAGCGGCGTGACAGCCCTGAGAAACCAGCAGTCTATCAGCGGAGGGGGGGGCGATGCTGGCGGCCAGCGATAACCGCCCAGGGCGCAATGATAACTCGGGCAGTTGGCTTTGCTTGCCCTCCGCCCGCGAAAAACAGAACGTGGGAAAACCAGACCCTCTCCGAGCGGGGAAGGGAAAGGCAACGGTTCACCTCGATTCTGCAGAGATCCCCCCGAAACCTGCCTGCTCACCATGACACAGAGGCTGGTCACCAGCAGCTGGCACTTGGTGGTCCTCATCCCGCACCTCAGTCCCATGGCTGCTTGTCCCCAGAGAGAGCTGGCAGTTGGTCCCTCCAGCTCTTGATAAAGCCTGGGTTTCCACCAAAGGGAGGCATGGCCACAGCGGGGCCTCTCGGGAAGTGTAGTCCCCACCACGTGCCGACGCACCTCCTCCTGCCCCGTTATTAAATCCTGTTTAGAGCAGCCGCCTTCTGCCCGGGCTCTCGGTGGGCTGCCGTCAGCTCCGACACGCAGCCAGCTGGGAAAGGAGGAAAGGCATGCAGAAAAACAGCCTTTGACGGAGTTCGGAGCAAAGCTCCTTAAAAAAATTCTTCAAACTGTTCAATCTAGAGTCAGTATGAAAATACCCTGTTTTTTCCTTTCATTGGGATGCAGTTTTGTGTAATAAACATTGTCACTAACTGTTTTTTTTTTTTTAAATCTGCATAAATAGTATCTTGGGAAAAAGTTTAGGAAAATGTTATTTAGAAAAAAAATAACCTGTTGTTTAAAGAAGACATCAAACCCCCCAAGGAGATCTGCTAAGAGTCTTCCCTCCCCATTTAATAACCACCACGTGGCAATAACCTTTGGCTGAGACTCTATTAAAACTTTTATTTGCAGAGGAGGGAAAAAAATCCCTTTGGTAGTATTTTATTCAGGAAAATGGCTATACACAAATATAACCCCTTGCTCAGGAGACCCTCACTGTCCATGGGCATTTTAACTCTGTCCTTTCCTCTCTCCTAGCACTGAAGACCCCATGGACCCACAGCTACAGAAGACTCGGGTGAATTCTGGTCTTCAAAACCAGCTGCCTGCTGGATGCATATTTCCCGAAAGTAAATCGCAAAGAAGCCTCAAGAACAATCCGGCCAAAGGGATGCTGAATGACTCAGTGCCTTAATCATCCTTAGTTTTGGTGCTAGACCGGTGGAAAAGAGGTGAAAGAGAATAATGGAAAATAGTCGCACTCCCCCCAGGTGGCAAAGGAAGGGGGGAAAAAGGTAAAACCATCCCACATCAGTAACTGTAGCTATAGGAAAATGACAAAGAAGAAGGAAGGGAGTGAAAAAAGGAAGAAAGATGCATTTTGTAGAGCAAAGAGAAGCGAGAGAAAGTGAGTTGCACAAAGCAGTGTGCACAGGAAAAAGCATGTCATGATTTTCTGACTACATCACTAGCTTTCTTGCAAGCTTTCTTGCAAAACATCTTGGTTGCAACCTCCCGAGACACCAATGAGAGCTGCCACAGCCGTTTCTGAAAACAAGTGTCCCCCATGGCTTGTGGGTCCCTGCCCTGGTGGGGTTCCCTGATGCCACTGATGTACCCAGGTGCACATAGAGATCTTCCTACTCCAGCCACCAGCTGGAAACCACCTGAGAAAGACCAACAGATGGACAGGAGGGAAGGAGAGCAGTGGGGAGAGGACTACAGAGAGAGGACAACAGGCTGGGGAGGCAGCTGATGCCCAGCCACACATGTCCAGGAGCAGGAACCAGACACCGTCTGCAGCAGCGCAGACCCCCCGGGGACAGGAGTACAGCTGCAAGGTGACCATGTCCACATGGTCCCCACCACGGGCCAGGTGGGGAAAGTGCCTTATAAAACACTGTGATGGAGTTAGGACTGCGTCAAACGCAGAGCTGTTAGCACCCGTCATTTTTTCTGGCGCTACGGGACAGACGGTTGCGTTGTCACCTGCATTTTCAAGGGGAATGCCCACCAAAGGGGCACGGCTATAAAGCCAGCAGGGTTGGTCCACGGGTGGACTTACAGGCTAAATCTGGAAGGGTTGCAAGAAGGTATGAAGTGCAGCTCTGTGTGTAAAACCAGCCTCAGAGCCCGACCAAGAGCGACGGTGCGTTAGCAGCGAGGGTGCAGCCGTGGTGCACACCGTGAGCACGCCCGGAGCCTGTTTCTCAGCAAGGGACATGAGAAAAACCATTGCAGCCCATCTTCATTTTCCCCTAGTTCCCAGTTTCCTTCCCTAACCCTAAAAGCACACTACTGGAGACCTGTGCAAAGCCAGATCTCACACTAGAGGTCCCCACAGGCCAGCAGAAACCCTTCCCGAAGGCCTGGACCATTCAAGTGGGCTTTCTGAAGGGAATAGATGGGGCAGTTCCCTTCCCAGTTTCCCAAAGGTCACCTCTGTCCACGCAGGAGCCTCGCACCTCACTGCAGGACCACCTGAGAGGTCAAAAAACCATCATCTACACCGCTTGGAAGTGCTGCACAAAAGATGCTCTACCTCCTTTTGTCTCCAGACATAAAACCAGGCACCTTCACTGCCTCACCAAGCTCCCAAAGCAGGTCTGTAACTTTAAACACCTGGGTTTCAACAGCTCTTTCCTCAGGTTTGGTTGCGAATGCCTGTTCCTGGGGAGTTTGCCCACGTCCTCGGATGCTTCAGAGGATTCTGCCACCTCCAGCGCTCAGCGTTCTGCCTTCGTGCCTGCTCCCTCGATTACCTGCTCCGGCGCAGCACTGGATTTGGGGGTGGAGGCATTTTCTGCTGTTTCTCTTTCCTCCATCCTCCTTTATCCCATATAGGTATGGCTTGAAAGATTTCTCTTTGGGGCAGAACATATGTAAATTTCTAACATCAAAAAATAATAAAGAGCAAAAGAATTTACTCCCTCCCCCCAAAAGTCTGTAGCAGGAGCATTAGTAGACCTGGGGCTACTTAAGCCCCAGGTTGGGCTTAAGAGGTGGGGCTCTAGTTGAAGGAGGCACGTTTGGCACATGCAAGGGCACTACCGAAGTGAGCGCAGGGGGAGCACGCGCGCTCATCTTAACTGTGGCCATCGTGGTCTTTGTAACACCTCACTTTCTCCGGGATTAAATCTCCTCTGGGTGCCGTGTCATTGGCATACGCCTGCCTCGGCAGCTCTCTGCCCAGGGAGCCCCGGCGAGAAGCAGGGTATCCCCTCAGCCCCATCCCAGCGGGAAGAGAGGCAGGGCTGGAGGCACGCCGGGGAACCATCCTCGCAGCCAGCGCGCCGGCTGGACGGCAGCGCGGCTTTTTCGGCAAGACTAGGCCTCCTGCCCGGCCTGCCCGCGGCCGCCTGCCCGCCCTGCCGGGTTTTATCAGGTGGTCCCCTTTGCAAGAGCACAACTTATCGCTCCCAAATGCAGTGTAAAAACCACAGGTGACCCCAGCTCCCGCTTGTGGCTTCCTCCCTTATCTCTGGTTATCAGCCGGAGCACGGAAAGAGGGTAGCGAGGCTGAAAATAGCCCAGGGAGCCCAGGTGCCCTCTTCCTCTAGCCTTGTGGCAGCTTGCAGCCTTCTGTTAGGCTGTGAAAATACATACCGGCATCCCCAGCTGCACGGGTGTCGGAAGGACACCCTCGCCCAGAAGGAAAGGATTGACTGAAAAAAGGGAACAAAGCCAGATCGTATTTTTTGCAGAGCTAAAATCCTCCGAGCCGGAGGGAAATGCTGCCCACGCTGTCAGGTGGATGTCCTAAAAGAGCTGGGGGATTTGATGTGTTGATGCTGCATGGGGTGAACTTGGGAGACTAAACATAAATGGAGGAGCAGAGGCTGAATTCATGCTAGGGCTTTCTCGCCCTCCACTTTTCTGGCTCTCGCTCCGTCGGTGCAGCCACCAGTGATGCCACAGCAGCATCCCAGCCCCAGCTGCTTGAACTCCAGCCCGGCAGCAGGTAAGAGAAACCTCCCCTTTGGCTTTGGGGTGCTCCTGCAAAAGGATGGGCTGGAAGCAGGGGAGAGGAGGTTGCCCCAGGAGGCAAAATTACACCCATCGTCCAGGCAGGACACATCCCTGCCAGGTCCTTGCCGCCCCTCGGGAGCCTCCTCCTTTGCCCACACCACCGTTAGGGAAAATATCTCTCCTCCACCGTAGAAAATAGCTCTAAACGTGGCAGATTTACTAGTGTCACTGGCTCAGCCCATTCGGTCCCTCAGCTACTGCCCGTAACACGGTCATATTCACCCTGGAGCTCGCTCGTAAATAAAACATGCCCATATCAAACCGCAGCGAAGCCGTATGAACGACGGGAAGCCAGGGAGACCTCTCAGCCCGCGCCCGCCTTCCCGGGCGCATCACAAGGATGCATTGTAAAGGCTGCTTAGCATTCATATAGCACATACGCACGATCAAAGCTAAAAATCAACTTTTAAACCCGGGGCTGTCTCTTTTCAAGAAGGGGAGGAGAAAAGGGGGAGGTGCTGGGCTTTGCCAAGCTTCGGATGCACCATACAGCTGGGCTGTGAATGGAAACAAGGCTGGCTGGAGGCTGCCTGGGAAGAAACAAAACTGGAGAGAAATCATAAAATCTCCAGAGGACTTTCTTATTTATTACTATTTCCAAAGGGTGTCTCAGAAATCCTCCAGCGACTCCCAGGCATTTTGAAATAAATTGTAGGTGAGCAAAAAAACATGTCAGAAGACTTATTTAAAAAAGTTCATCAAGCCCAAGAAAGACCATAAGCTGAAGACAGGGAATTCCCTTCAAAGAATAAACTCAAATAAACTTCTTTCCCACCCAAAAGTGAAACAACTGTACTCATAGCTCTAAAGCACACCCCCCTACTTCAACTAATTCTTTTTTCTTTTCTACATGGTATCTAATTGGAAACCACAGCTGTCCAGGCGCCAGCTGTGCTGGTGATAGACCTAAAGACACAACTCTAGCCCCGCTCCCAGCAAAACCAGCGCGAGCGGAGCCCAGCCTGGCAAGCGGGGATTCACCTGCTCGCCAGGGAGAATGGGGCTGCTTGACTGCCCCTCGCCATTTACTTCTGGCATTTGCTCTCTCGAGCCTTATCACAACGGGACCTCTATTGCTTTCCGCTGAGGTCCAGAAAGTTTTGGCAAAAAAACCCCAGAAGCTCACGTCAGCTGCCTGCAGCGCACGGGTCACGGCGGGACCGACCCAGCGCCTCGTCTGCCGCCTTCCCACCGACGCACGTGCCAGCTCCGGTGGCAGCGTTTTGCCCTCACCTTTGGCAGACGCGAGAAATAACACGTAGCGTCAGGGCTCGGAG